GCCCTTGTTTTCTCAAATATTTATGAACTGTAATTTGGTAACAGAATTGCATATACAGTGCTTTAATTCCATGTTTACTGTGGAGTAGCAGATCAGTTTAATCAGCCCAGTAAATATGTATGCAGCAGTTTTCATGCGAGAAGTAGCAGCTGAGGGTTCATTTTTTACCGTTTCAACACCTACTGCTATTTGGAAGTCAGAAAAGAACAACTTTTTTTTTGTCCACTGCCATCAAACTGAACGGAGACAGAAGCAGCAGCAGCAGCACAGGTCAGCTCTTACTCGACACTCCTGACACGACGCCTGCAGAGCGGAGCTGGCGGGCAGGACGCCGCAGTGCGCCCACACCGCCCTGCCTGCCCCAGAGCGCGACCTGGGCGCAAGGGGGCTGAACTGGGGGGAGCAGGGGCAAATTTATTGCACATTCAGACTTCAGCATCCCAAATACTGAATTCCTTCCATAGACTGGAATCGAGGACAAAATCCAGTCCTTTGAGAGTGGAGATCTCTTCCCCAAGGTTACCCTGGGCAGAGCGGGTGCTCAGCCAGCAGCGGGGTGGGCTTGTGCTGTGGCTGAGAGCTCCCCCGTGCATGCCTTGCCCTTTAGCAGTGCGGTTATTTAAAGCTGAGTGTGTTGGACCTTCCTGCGGCTGGCCCCTCCTGCCAAAAGGCAGCTCAGAGGCCAGGGCACAACCATTTGCCATTTTATTACTATGGTTGAATTCCCAGCTACACTGCTAGGAAGTTAAGTACAGCAGGTTTAAAGTATGCAGAGAGTGAGTTGCAATTTCTTCCCCAAATCTTACAGCTTTTGTGTGTCTAACAGCAGCAATTTTACCCAGGAGAGGCCGTCTGAGTAACAGCGACACTGGACAGTGATTTCTCCTACCTGGAGTTTTCTTTTGCAGCCGTACCTGGAGTTCAGCCAGGGGCTGATCTCAGTTGTTCAACAGAGTTCTCTACATCCCAGACTGAAAAACTTCCTTAAAAGCCCACTCAGAAACTGCCTGAACATGCCTGTTTTTCTGAAGCCCACTTCATTTGCAGCATGGCCAACAGATCTGCTCTGTGAAAAACGTGCTGCAGCGATTTTCTAGCTGGTGTGGAAGAGTTGACCTCTATCAAACATCCTTGCTGCTTGATTCACTACCAAAATTTGAAGGATGCTACTCAGCAGAGATGAGCCCTGATGGGAATAGGGCTCCCAGGACGCAAAGCTGCCCTTGCACAGCCACAGGGCCAGGGTGGGGTCCTGGCCATGCCTGTGTGTGCAGCTCCTCGCCGGAGGCGGCCGCCGGAGCACCAGCGCTGCTGGATGTCATAAACATGACCGGGAAAAACACCAAAAGCACTGGCATTAGCCTAAAGAAGAGAAGGCAAGGGAGCAGTTTTCAAATACGTAAGAGGCTGCTGCAAAGAGGAGGGAAGTTATTTGTTCTGCGTGTTCACAGGGAGATAACGGGCTTAAATTACAGTCAGAAGGATCAGGTTAATGGTAGGAAAACCTTTCTAACTAACAGTGAGAGCAGAGAGGTGCAGGGACAGAGCGCCTGGGAAGGTGGTGGAGTTTCTGTCCCTGGCAATCTTTAAAAGCAGGTTAGACAAACGCACCCCGAGGTGCTGCTGGTATTGCTGACGCGCTGCAGCAGGGAGAGCCCATGCACGGGAGCTCCTTGTTGCACTGCCTGGAGGCTCAGTTTGCCCCACACGGGAAGCCACAGCTCATTTTCGGGGAGATGCCCAAATGTAAGATGACTGAAAAAAGCCTTACTGAATCACCCTTAGATTCTTCTTCTGGCTCTCTGTGACTATGACCTGCCCTGTGCCGCCGGCACCGGGCTGCGGAGGCAATGGCAGGTAGGAAATGGCCCAGGTGCTCTGAGGCTTCTTCACTGTGGGTCAATGGGGCACTCAAGCCACCTGCAAGCGTCAAGAGGACAGAGGCCAGGCCTTAATCTGGATTTGAGCTCAGGCTTCAGCAGTCGCCTTGCCACCTTGGCATGCTCCGGCAGGTTCGGTGCAGCTGCTGGTGCCATGCGCTTTCAGCAACGTGCGAGGGCTGATGGGCAAAATGGGAGAAACTGGAGTGGCGCGTTGGCTCCGTGATGACCAGCTCTACCGGACTAGATTAATATTAACCTGCAAAAGTGCTGCGACAGCTTTTTGACATTTAATAACCTTCTTAAAATATCTCGCTCTGGGCTGGTAAATGAATCCCTCGGTGCGAATAGTCTGCCCTGACTGTCCAGCTGCAGAAATTGATTTGTTTAAACTGAAAAAATACAGTTGTCTGGCTTTAAAGAGTTGATAATGCACAGATTTGTTGGAAAGCCCGACAATGAGGTAAAGAGATCAATTTCTATACATCAATATCTCTGTGGCTTGTGATGTCTCTAAGTAGGTGTGGGCAGTCCAGACAGCAGCTACCAGTATTTTTAGGGAGGTTTAAAGTCAGTGTATTCAAAGACTACTTGGTCTGACTAAAAGGATTTCACTTTGAAATCCCAGCGCTTTGATCACAGCAAGAGAAGAGTCGTGGCAGTGTTACCCGGCGCGCGTGGCCGTAGCTGGTAATGCTGATGCAGCTACGGATTTGTCAGCATTTCTGTCGACAACGCCGCTTTTTGGGATTTATGAAGCTCCTCCATAACCAGCCCCCCAGTTCAGCACACAGAGCTGACTCACAGGCTGGATACTGACTTTTTTTTTCCTGCAAAATGGTACTGAATCGAGCAAATCAAGTCTGAGTGTGAACACTCTGAAGTGATCCAGACTCTGATCTTACAGGGGCTCGAGCAAGTATGTCACATCACTCACGTTCAGAGAGCCTCTCTGAATTCATTTAATACTGTTTGGACATTGGTGCTGATTTATATAACGTGTTGTTTGTGCAAAGATAGATAGCCTGTCCTCCCCTATGGACTTCTCAGCAACAGAAGCACCTCATCCCCATCTGCAGATCATGGTGTTACTGCTGTTTGTTTGCACAAAGGATGGGGGAATGTGCCCGGAGCTGGGAGATGCTCCGGTCCTCACCACCAGTGCTTGGGAACTGCAGGCGTTTCTATATAGAGCGAGCTACAAACATGCTATAGAAGTACTTCACCTAACACCAAATTGTGTTAAAACCTCCAAAGCCTATCTCCGTTCAACCACACGCGTTTCCTTCTGCTCGGCTGTTTGCTAAGACGTGCGGCTGGAAGCGGCTGGCGTGCTGCGGGAGCAGCCTGCTCGCCTGCG